AGAGAGATAGGATTTCACGTTCTGCAAGAATCAAGCTGCATCACAGAGAAACAAGATTCCAGAGTAAGAAAGGATACTTACGGAACTTAATGACTCCTATAAATCTGCATCACAAAAGCCAGCAGCCTTCTAAGATGCCTGTAATTGAACGAAAATGATAGCTACGCAGGATTAGCGGAAAGAGATGCTGATAATAGTTCCTCAGCGGCCTCCTAAAACACAAGCGAAAATCTCAACTATTCTGCTCATGCATTCAGGAACGTATTCGCAGATCAGGAACATATTCCAAATCAGGTGGTCTATTCAAATCCGGCAATTACTCGAACAACAGGCAAAATAAGTTATTCAACTCGATATTCCAAGGAAACCTCCGCCACCAATGCACATAGATCAACGTGATGATTATTCAATATACTGAATGAAGAAGAAGAAAAACCAGTGTTATTTTATTCAAGAGAGCGGAACATACGGATCTTACGCTTTCTGCTAGAGAATCCGCAAAACCTGCAACAACCAATCAAACATGATGGAGAACTACAAGCTATTACAGTGATAAGGCTATATGTATTTAAAATGTGAGCATATTTTTTTTTAAATATTGTTATAATATATACAAATGAAAAATTCGTCATTCCCAAGAGGGTTTTTGTGTCTGACATTTGCTATTCCACATTACTTAAAGCTCTATTGAGTCGCCTCCGCAACACCTTTCAAAAGTACGTTTATAAAATAACCAAAGTTTACATATGAATACATATTGTATAGGCTACATTCCATTTTATTGAGATTGCAGTACATGAAGGAGCTTTCGATATTAGGCAATTTCATTTTGAAGATATTTTTGAGCCTGATTTTTCAGGTATCAGTGTATGAGAAGAAATAATTTTTATGAGATAAAATGCTAATTAATATCATTTAATGTTCGATTTAATAATCTGCACGTTGAAAATTTCTCAAGATGAATAACGACTGACTATATTTGCGTTATCAGATGTGTTTTATGAAGATGATCGCACCAGAGGAAGTAAGTTGAAAACTATGGCTGAAATATCTTGGTATGAAATTACCGAAGATAATGCCATTTTTATGGATTTGCGCAGAAGAAGATTGCATAACAAGTTACGGCCACCAGAGTAACGGAAAATCTATCAGAAAAAGGACGGTTCAAGTCGTGTCAGTTATCTATTTCAATACAAAACAGGCGAGTCTATATGGGAGGCACACTAGATAAAAATTAAACAAAAGTATCTTGATGAGAAGAAAGAAATATGCTCGAAAAGCAAAAAGGAACATCCAATACAAGTCAAAACACTATTCAAAGAACAAAATAGTCAAAGCCAAATAATTCACACTGTCGAAATCTAAAATTGCAGTAGAAATCAATTATTTTTCAGATGATTCAGATTAGTAGACTACGATTCCTCGACTTAGGATAAGCAGCCAACTCCAAATCAAGTCTTGCAAAAACAATAGTCAATCACAGTCCAAATATACTAACCTATAAACTACTCAACATCAGACATTTCTGCCCGCAGAAGTCAGCAGATCAGATCATAAATGAATCAAATAGAAGATATAGAAAACGAAATAATATTAGGATCAACCAAAAACTAAAAGAATTACAAGACAACATCAAAGAGAATGTAGATAATGAGAAAATAAGCGGCTTAGGAGAAGTTTAATAACGATGTTTCAACAAGAAAAAAGTTTTATAAGTGATGACTTCAAAAATAAACGATAAATAACAAAAGAATTTAACAGGAAGCCCAAGAAAAGTATCTAGCCACAAAAGAATACTTTATGAGAATCAAAATAATTTTAGAAGATTCAAGATAATCGCGTGAACTCGAAGGCATATTAAAGAACTAAACATAAAAAGAGAGATATGCTTTCATTACTGTCAGTTTGAGACAGAAATGAAATAGCCAATGATTCAAAAGCTCTCGAATCACAAAATCTCAAAAAAAATCTCATGAATTTGAGAAAATGAACGCTTAATAAGAAGCAACAAAGATAAATAGATTCCTGAAAAGAAGGATGCAGCAAAAATAGAAGCAATTACGAATAAACATTTTCAAGTGTCAAAAAACTTCAACAAAGAATGTACGATCAGCCATTAAAAGAGTTTCACAAAGAGTTTCTAAGGAGCGTCCAAATAGATGCAAGATGCAGTCGAAAGGGAAGCAGAAGATATAGAAAAGCTTTAGCAACCAAAAATAGAAAAAATTACGGAAAATTTCAACCAACAAATGGAAAAAATCAATGCCAAACGAAATGGAGAGAAAGAAAGGAACTTTGTTACCAAAATGACGAAGAATTCATTGAGTTTAATCTGGCTCAGCAACAAAAGCGTTATTGGGCAGCTAAAGAAAGTACATCAGATAGTAGTCCGAAATCATGAAATGCAGAACAATTCGAGCAGACCAAAGAAAGAGTTCGAAAATCAGCAAAAAAGAAGAAATCATTCAATCATGAGAAGCATCAACGAGAAATCGATGACATGAAGAAGAATTCACGTACAAAATTAATACAGTTATTAAATGATGAAAGACGAAGAGATGAAACAAGAGCAGCAATGCGAAAAAGGATTATATTTCAAGAAAAAAGAAACATTAGCAAATTGAGTGTCAATATGAGATCAAATAATGAATTGCATGAAAAATATGAATGAACGCAAGTTACAGGAAAACAAGGCTTTCATGCAAGAATTAAGCCGAATATGAGAAAGATTGGCTCTAAAAATGCAACAACTCAATTGTCACAATTCACAAGTATTTCCTATTGCTGTTAAACCAACAAGAGAACTTAAGACTTTTAAGACCAATTAATATTTTGTTTTTCTCGAAAACGAGATGGATCAGAGAAGTCGTCTGGGTAGAAGGCGGATTATGGAGGTTTCAAGTGCGGCAGCGAGTGATGGGAATGAGGTGGAGCCAGAAGAGGTGGTTGGGAGCTAAGTCATGTCAAGTGTGGTCAAGGGTGCACGAGAGTGTCGCGAGAGATTCTGGTCAAGTGCGTTGATGATGGAGTGATAGGTGGAGGAGAATAGAGAGGGGGACGATGAGAGCAAAGGTCGAAATGTCGAAGAGTCAATTGTAATAAACGTTTAGTTCTGCTGTGAGAAGATGGAATGGGTGGATGGAGATGCGATGAAAGTTGTCAGGCAGCTCGGACGGAGAACGATTAGTAGGAATTGTTGATTCAGGATCAAGAGACTAGAGAGTCTAGCGCAGTTAGGCTGTCGTAGATTTCAGCAACGGAAACGACACAAAGGTTGGAGGCTTGAATAGCGCCTCAAGGCGAAGGGAATTTTGAGAGGTATGCAGAAGTGAGCCGAGTTAAGGTAGACGCGTTGGCGGGTACAGTAAGTGCAGGGGAAAAGTATGAGCATCGCACGCGTTCCGTGTGTTCGATTGCATTGAGCGGGCGAGGAAGGAAGTGCGGAATGAGACCTGTGTTGCAGCGCAGAAGAGATGAGGAAAGCGTACGGAAGAAAGTCAAAGCAGGATGTTAGACGAGGAGATGAAGTGAGAGTGAGCTGTTCGGGATTCAGTGGCTGCAGAAAAGATGGGCGTGAGAGATTGAGTGGCGGAGAGAAGTGGAATTGATTTTATTTGGATGTTTGTTATGTTCCTTAGATAGAATTGTTGGTTATGTTAATAGTTTAGATGGATTATTAACTTTGGCGGAAGGTACAGTAAGGACTTGCTCTGAGTGGCGTGCGCGATGTGTGCAATGGTCATGGAGGGAGAGTGGTGTAGAGGATGCTGGGTTAAGTAGACGGTCAGAAGCATCTTTGCAAGGAGGGATTCGGTCGGGCGGAAGAGAATGGTTACGGATAGGCCAGCAGCGAAGTGCACGAATCGCATGTATGTGGAGGATGTTGATGGAGGCGGGAGAGGTCGAAGGGTGTGTGGTGCAGTGTAATGTATAGTGATAGCATATAGTGTTTGATTTTTGGAGGTAGGAGGTTAGTTGTTGTTTGTTGTTGTCGTGTAGTGAGAGGTGTCTAGGAATCGATGTTAGGAAAAGAAGAGAAGTCAGCGGCGCTGCACGGACGTCGATTTTTGGAAATTGGAGGTTTGGTGTAGAAACGTTATCACGGGAGGTATGAGAGGTTGCCCGAGGACATAAGGTTAAGTGAGATAGAAAGTTTATGTGAAGGGCTGCAGCTGACGGGCCCAATTGGACTTTATTGCGAAATGTTTTTGGGAGCGAATGGTGGTGTAGGTAGTTGGTGTGTGAGGAAGATGTAACGTTTGAAGGGCATGCTGAATTGAGAGGCCGGATGTCAGTGAGGGCGGGTGAAGGTGCCGACCCTTGAACGAAGAAGGAGAATTCAGCTTTATCTTGGTGCAGACAGTTGGGTTGAGGGAGAGTAATGACCAAGGATAAGAGTCGAAGGAAATTGGATTTTTTTGGAAGGTTGAGGTGAATAAGGTGGATTCCTTAATGGCGTGCGGTTTCGAGATAAGTGCAAGGTGGGTGTTTTCATTGTTATTTTGTGTGTCTTGGTAACGAGCGTGCCATAGAGGAAGAGATAGTTTAGACGAACTTCAGCATGAGCGTAGAAGGTGCTGCGAAAGATGAGTGGGAGTATGTCCAGAAGTTGATCCTTGTGCTTCTGTATGTCCAACTGAGGATGAAGGATATGTTAGACAAGCTTCCAAGGATGACCGGATTTGGTGGGATGGCGCGCAAATGAGGTGGAGTAGTGATCCGAGCTCATTGAGTTCTTTGGCTTCGTTTATCAGCTCCAACTGAGGAGTAAATAGTGTGAAGCAGAACAGTCGGGAGGTTTACGCATGTTGCTTGAATGTCCGCGGCAAGTAGAGGTGGAGTCAGTCGACATGCATTCGTTTGTGCTTCTTGGTAGGATCAGCTCAAAGTAGAGAGAGGATATGTGTTGAGCGAACGTCAGAGATGAGTTGCTGGTTGATGGCCGAAAGCGGGAGTGGAGAATTGGGTCCAAAGTGGCGTGGGCCGTTGCTTCTTTATTAGCTCGCAACTGAGGAGTAAGAGTGATTGTAGACAAGCGTGTCGAAGAATGACGCAGTGAGAGGTATGCCCGGAAGGCGGAGTGGAGTATGAGGTCCATCATGGTGTCGGCTTTGGTGCGTTCTGGTTAGTTAGGCTCCAGTGCGGTGAGATAAGGTGGATTTAGGAGCGGACTTCAGAGGTTTAATAATATGAGTGCATGAAAGTGAGTGGGAGGTAGTAGCGTCGCGATGCATGTGATCGCGGTTTGGCTGACGTGTTATGTAGCTCCAGACGTAATAAGATAGGGTATGAAGCAGAGCTTCAAGATGAGCCGATGATATGGGATGCGAGATAGAGCTGTACCGAGCGCACCAATTTGTGGCTGGCATGCGGATGTCGTGTGGGTGCACGGAGCGCGAGCAGGTGTCAAGAGAGAGAGGTTTACAAGGTCTGGGAGATTGTCGCTGTTTGAAGGATGATAAGAAGTCAGAGTTGGTGGTGAACCGATGAGATGAGGATGGGCAGCGCGGATGGAGGTTTGGGGTGTGTTTCCGAAGGGTTGCTTCTTCAGCGAGTGCTTTTTGTGATCGAGTTTTTTTGAGTTGTCCTTTGTGTCGGGGAAATTTCGTCAAGGGAATATGTAAGTGGTTGGATCGAAGAGTCGTTGTAGAATTTTTAAGTGTCGGAGATGTTTGAGAGAAGGAGGAGGATGTTTGTGTGCGTCGCGTGGTTGAGATTGAAGAGTGAAGATGTGTGTGCAGTGTTGCTTTCTCGAACGTGTTTTCTGTTTTTCTTTTTGGGATCGCGGAGAGTTGAAAGGGGTCTGCTTGAGGTGTTTTCGAGTTGGTGATTTAGGTTGGTGAGGTCTGGAGTTGTGAGTCTTGTGTGAATGTGTTGGGTAGCGCGCAGAGTAGATGTGCCTGTGCCAAGTGATTGCGATCTGTCATGTGACAGGTGGTTGAACAGGATTGTAGGGTGTTGGAAATGACAAGTGTGTGGAGAGTGTTGTAGTTGGAAATAGGTGGTAGGGTAGTTTCGAGTGCAGGTATGAGCGCAGAGATGGGAGATTGCACGGAAGGAGGATTGAGTAGTCAGGTGGTTGTAGAATTCGGGAAGTGTTGGATGAGGTTGGGATGGTGTGGAGGTATCTTCTAGCTAGGAATGTGCTGAAGAGAGTTATTCTCGGGTGAAGTAGGTCGCGTGTTGGAGATGGTGATGCCAGGGAGTATGTATGTCGTAGTTGCAGGAAGCCGAGTTTTCCCGGACGTCGTGCAAGGGTTGAACGGGTCTGGCGGAGAAGATAAGGAACTGAGTGTGTGAAGGAAGTAATGAAATTGTAATATGCGATGGCCGCATCATCTAAGTCGGAGATGTATGGAGATTTAGGAGCGAGTCATGGATGTTAGGTATTCTGGTTTGGTAAAAGTGGTGCTGGTGTTACCGGTATGAAAGTTGTTCCGACTGAAAGAAATGTTTATCGCGAAGGGAGTCATCAGTTGGGTGGTGAAGGTCGGGGACACGAGCTGGAGTGATAAGTGCGTGGCGCGTAAATAGTAGAATGCGAGATGGAAGGCTAGGCGGCGAGGAATCTGTGAGAGGTGTTGCGGAGGAAGGAGGCTATTACCGTATGATATGGTCGAGGATAGTAGAAGCGTTTTTAGAAGGTGAAGGAGGAGGAGAGTGATCGGGTGAAGGTTGCCGTGAAATGGAGGGGTGAGTCGGAATATGCGGTTGATAGAGGCAGTGGTTGTGAGAGATGATGCTAAGTGGAGCAAGATGAAGGTTACCTTGAAAGATGATAGCAGCAGAGAGTAAAGAAATGGAGGGGATTTGGGGGAATTTGGGTAGGATGAGAAGGGTTTGTGAGAAGCCATAGTGTCGGTGGTGGCTGCTCCGTTGATCAGAGGTGGGTGAGGTTGTAGTGGGCAGGGCCGTGTTCATAGGGAGAGCGGTAATGTGCGTGGGACGATCTTCAGGGAGCGCATGCGGTGATGGTCTACTGTCCGGTGTTGGGTAAAAGCTGTTGTTATTCTGAGAGTTTTTAGTTTGGTATTGGGCCCGTTTTGGAGTCGAGATGCTTTTGGAAAGAATTGAGTGACGGGTCAGATAGGTAGATGGACACAAGCAGTGTGTTTATCAAAGATAAGGTATTGAAGATTTGAAAGTGTAGTTGGTGAGGTGCAAATGTTGGTGGTCGAATGAAGTGTGCCCGGGACAAGAGCAGAAGGGAGTAATTTATAGGTGAGGAGAATATGGGATGCAATAGTCGTGTTACTAACAGATGCGCTTACTAAGGGGGCAGAGGTAATTTTTGTGGGTACCGAGGAGTGAGAGGTGGTTGATGGTTTTGTTTGTCTTGTGGGAGAATGGTGAAGATTGGATGAGCATGAGGAGGATGCGGACAAGAGATGGTTGCTGCGTAGTAGACTTGAGGATAGGAGTGTGGGTACGTGGAAGTTGAGGTTTCGTTGGCTTCTTTGAGCGCTCCTGTCTGGGAGTTGTGAAACAGGCTGCGTTGATGAAGTTGCGTGAGTTTTCTAGTAGTTGCCCGGTGTATGGGGGTATGTTGGTGTGGTTGCATAGGCTGAGGGCCTTTGTGTGGACCTTGAAGCGCTGTGAGAGAGTCTTCTCGTAGGTGTTCGGGAAATGGGAGATTTTAAGGGTATGGAGTGGCAAGACATTGCTGGCGGCGCAGTAGGGGTCTTTGTGTTGGGATTAAAGTGACAAAGGTTGCTGTAAGATTAAGGTGCGATTGCAGGGTCTGATGCGGCGGTCCGGAGAAAGGTCTTCGTTCAGATATAATGGGGTTGGGAGAGTGTTAGGGTTCAGCGATGGTCGTGGCGAACCAGTGGCGGGAGCGATGCATGAGTGCGAAGTGGTCGTTCGTGTTGTTGTGGCAGTTGGCCTGGGTGGAATTGAGAGAGATCTTGTCGTAGTTGGATCGTTGTGGAGAGGGCGTCCTGGAATGGGGTGGTGCTTCACGTTACGGGTATGGTCTGCGAGGATGGGAGGCGGCCGCGCCAGGATGATAAGTGAGCGAGGTCCGTATTGGTTTGAGGGTGACGGTCCGGAGAGAATATTTGAGGGGGCTGCTATACCGAGCGAGTTGCAATGTAAAGTGCTGGGTTCGAGATGGGGAATTGGTGCTTGAGTGGCGATGGTAGTGTTTGCACTTGGACAAAGCCAGAGAGATAGGAACTGTGTGGAGGTTATGGGAAGTTGATTGTTATTGAGCAGTAGGTTGGATGGTTTAAGATTGCGGGGATGGGTGATAGGACACGAGCTGAGAGTGAAGGAATTGTTGAGATGGCAGCAAGGAAGTGTGCCAAAGTAGGGTAGTGGAGGTCTTGTGGAGTGAGACAGGTGGCAAATGGCGTGATGAATGAGAGGCCGTGATGTACAGTGGTGTAGGTGCCATAGAAGCGGGCGAGAAGGAAGAGAGGATGAGTGCGTTATCATGTTTCTGCTCTGTGAACTTGGTGAAAAGGCCAAGCAATGGAAAGGGATGTGGGATTTGAGGTGGTGGTCGTCCGAGAGAGGTGTAATTTGCACGAGAGCGTACGGTTGTGCATCAGATTAGGGACGTTTGGAAAGTGCAGCCGCAGGATAGCTGTTTTTCGAGAGCAAGCTAATGGTGTCGGCTGTTACTCGGAGTTCTTGGTGGCACGCGCAGGAGAGAGATACGCGGAGTAGGTGCAGCGCTGTTCCCGACTTCGTTGGGATGATTGTGATAGTCGTTTGAGAGGTGAGTTTGCTTATCAGAGGATGTTTCGGATGGAGTGAGATGCGTTGATGGATACATCGCCATGAAATTGTCTGATTGTGGCGGAGGTGAGGTAGAAAAGGTAGACGAAGCGTGTTTCTGTGGTGCAGAGGAGATGAGAAATTTTCAGGAATTGTTATGTTAGAGATTTTATCGGATGGAGACTGTGTATGACTGGGGATTAAGGGAGGAGGCTATGGGAAGATGGGTGTCATGATCTGGTGGCGATCTGCAGGGATTTTGGAAAGAAAGATTGAGAGGTAGTAAGAGGAAGTTGATGTGTTGTGGAGTAATGCATGTCGGGCGGGTCGAAAAAGTTGTTCGGGTCGAGCTGGGTTTTGTCGTGCTAGTACGGAAGGTCCAGCTCATTAGTGAGTGAGGCAGGACGAGAATGCAAAGGATGGCGGGGTGTGATGGGGGGAGTGCCGACGGGCTGAGACTTGGTGTTGGTCTACGCGTGAGATAGGAGAGAGAGGAAGCCATGGAAGGGAATAGATCTGACGAGAGAGTTCAAAGGGTGTTGAGGAAGGGTGTGGGTCTTTTTGATGTGCTGAGATTTAGAAGTGACGAAGAGAGAATAGGAAGAACCTAGTTCTAGGGGCGTGTTGTTATGTAATGGAGGAGGGAGGGACAGTCATGATTGGTAGGGTTGAGGTGAAGGAGAGAGGAATATTTGAGGAAGTGTTAGGGAGGACGAAGAGATGAAATAGAAAAAGGATAGGCAGATGAAGCGTGTAGGGTGGATGGTGCGTATATTGAGGAGGAGTGTGTAATATTGAAGGAGGAAAGTGTATTGGGTGGTGGCGCAGAGTAGGTTGCGGTGTAGAAGGTCGTCCGGAATGTTTTCTGAGTCGCGAAGGGTGAAGCGCGGCGCAAAAAGGTGTCATTGTTGTGTTGCGGGTTGAGGGAGGAGGAGATGGGGAGTTGGTCCATGTTCCGAATCGGGAGACAGGGGGGATGGGGATGGTAGGATGATAAGGAGAAGGCAATGTCGATGCTTCTCTATGCTGGAGGAGCAATCGAGACTTACGCGGAGCACAGATGGTGAAGGTCAGGTCCGTTTCACTGAAGTGAGTAGGTTGGTGTGGAAGAGACGTGTTCGTCTAGAAGCGGATACAGGGTGTGCGGGCTGACGGAGTGTTCGTGCAAGCTTGTCTGGAGGGAATGAGAATAGTGAGGAGGTATGTGGTGTGTTGATGACGGTGTTGTGTTGGCGTATAAAGGTCTAGTGTGTGTGATTTGTTGGTGGGTTTGAGTGATGAAGAATAAGCAAGAAGACGTACGGGCGTAAGGAGCGGCGAGTAGCACTGCTGGTGCGTTGCAGGTGGTTTGATTTACCGGATGGTGTAGAGAATAAACTGTGAGACAGACATGGCTTTAGGTTTGTGCGAGGCGAAGGCGAGTCTAAAGATAACGGTACAGGTGCGGTGAATAAGAGACGTAAAGAAGCTGGGGGCTGGGTGGAGAATGTTTCTTGTTATTGGAGTAGTAGTAGGGCGTTGCAAAGTATGGCGACGTGATGACTTCTAGGAATGTCTGATAGGACACGACTTTTTGCGAGGGTGAGGTAATTTGGTTAGAAAAAAGTTATAGGTTCGAGCAAAATAGTGATTGTATCATGGAGGAGTGATGGTGAAAATAAAGATCATGGTTCGGGCAGTAGGGTTGAAAAAGAGTCGTGAAATCGGTTGTGCCAAGAAAGAATTTTGAAGTGTCAAATTTTAGAAAAGGACGTGTAAGAACAGCTTTGTTGTTGGGGAAGCGAGAAGAGAACGAAGATGCTAGTTTTTTGTTGTGGGAAGAGGAGTTTAGGAATAAATAGGAGCTCTTTAACTCGTCGAAGTACAAATGTGTTTCAGAGTTTGTGTTTGCGGAGCGGGAAGATTGAACTTTTAGGAGGGTTGAGTACGAGAAGGGTAGAGATTCAGGATGAAAAATGACGGGGGTTTAACAAAGAAATCAGCGCAATGGATAGGGAAGTTTTGAGTAGGCAGGACGAGATTGGATAGGAAACTATGGGTATTAAAGAAGGACGGGAGTAAGTGTTGTGTTGGCGAGTGAGGTTGAGAGAGATGGATGAGAAGTGGATGTCGAATTACAGGACTACGTGCTAGGTGCCGAAACTTACTAGGTGGGTGTGGGTGAGCTTATGGTTTGACACAGGGGAATAGGCTGGTGAACTAAGGTTACTTAGATCGCGAGGGACTGTGTAGTTATACGGGTTGAAGGGTTGTGCTTTGTGGAATGAAGACGTGTAATGGTGTGTGAGTGTAGCCAAGCTGTATCTTGATAGTGCAGAGTTAGTTTACGAATGCAGACTTACGTTGTGAGGTCTACGGAACTTGACGATTTAAGGAATCAGAGCTTGCCGAGTTCGAGTCAGGATGTACTTTCGTCCGAGAGACTTACATGTGGTCAAAGTCAGGACGTGTACTTTCGGGGTCCGGAGATGTACAGTTGTCAAGTCGCTTACTTTGTGGCCGAGCTGGTACAGTTTCGAAGTGCAGGGGAGCGCATTACTGCGGTGCGGAGACGTACTTTCAAGTGGCCAGGACGTGACTGGTTGTGAGACTTACATTGTCAGAGGTGCAGACTTGACTTGGGGTCGTCGGGAGAGCTGTACATTTCAGTCAGTACTTACCTGGTTCGGTCGGAGATAGGGTCAGTGGAAGTGTGCGAGAACGTGTATGTGCGGGTTGGCCGGTAGATGTGAGCAGGGTTCAGAGTCAGACGTTGACGTGTCGTGCGCGAGGAGCTGGTGGACATTTGAGAGGGTCAGACTGAGCGTTTCGTGCCGAGACGGTTAGATTTGCGAAGTCAGACTTCTTTCGTCGGGAAGCTTAGCAGTTCGATGGGATAGTCCAGACTTTACTTTCGTGCCGAACTTACATGAGAGTCAGACTTACTTTCGTTTCCGAACCTTACATTTAAGTCAGACTTACATTTCAGTCAGACTTACTTTCGTCCGAGCTCATTCAAGAGACTTACATTTTCAAGTCAGACTTATTCGTCAGATACATTAGTCAGACTTACTTTCGTCCGGCTTACATAGAGACTTACTGAGATTACATCAGTCAGACTTACTTTCGTCCGAGGACTTACATTTCAAAGTCCAGAATTCGAACTTACTTCGTCAGCTTACTCGCCAAGACTTACATTTCAAGTCAACGGTTACTTTCCGTCCGGAGACTTACATTGTCAAGGTCAGACTGCATTTCAAGGTCAGCTAATCGTGAACTTACTTTCAGGGTGACTACGGTAGCTGTACGATTGTTCAAGTGCAGGACGTGTACTTTCAAGTCAAGACGTTAACGTGTTCGCCGAGCGTGTAGGGCGAGTCGAAGACTTAGCATTGTCGCAATGCAGACGTGTACATTTGCAAAGTCAGGGACTTAACTTTCGGTCCGAGAACTTACATTTCAAGTCAGAATTACTGTTCGTCCGAGACTAGTAAACAGTTTCAAGTCAGACTTACTTTCTGATACTCGAAGTCAGACTTACATTTCAAGTCAGACATCTTTAGACTTACAGTCAGCTACTTGCGGACTTTGACCTAGTCGAACTCTCGCGAGACGTTTACAGTTGTCAAGGTCAGACTAATCAAGTAAGACTGTGCTTTGCCGTCGCAGGACTTGTAGCAGGTTTCAGTCAGACCTTACGTTGTCGTGTCCCGAGAGACTTACGATTGTCAAGTCAGGACTATTTCGTGTCACCGGATAATACATTTCAAGTCGGGACCTTCACATGTTCAAGTCAGACTTACTTTCGTCCCGACGACTTACATTTCAAGTCAGACTTACTTTCGTCGACGAGACTTACATTTCAAGTCAGACTTTACTGTTCGTCCGAGACTTACATTTCAAGTCAGACTTACTTTCGTCCGAGACTTAACATTTCAAGGTCAACTACTTTCGTCCGAACTTAATTTCAAGTCAGACTTCTTCAACATTTCAAGTCAGACTGTACTTTCGTCCGAGACTTACATTTCAAGTCAGACTTACTTCGTCCGAGACTTACATTTCAAGTCAGACTTCACATTTCAGAGTCAGACTACTTTGTCCGAGACTTACATTTCAAGTCAGACTTACTTTCGTCGAGACTTACATTTCAAGTCAGACTTACTTTCGTCCGAGACTTCAATTTCAAGTCAGACTACTTTCGTCCGAGACTACATTTCAAGTCAGACTTACTTTCGTCGCTTAGCCAGTCGTGCCTTACATTTCAAGTCAGACTTACTTTCGTCCGAGACCTTACATTTTCAAGTCAGACCTTCATTTAAGTCAGACTTACTTATCGTCGAGAAACTTACATTCAAGTCAGACTTACTTTCGTCCGAGACTTACATTTCAAGTCAGACTTACTTCGTCCGAGCTTACATTTCAAGTCAGACTTCCGCTCAAGTCAGACTTACTTTCGTCCGAAACTTACATTTCAAGTCAGACTATTTAGTCAGACTTACTTTCGTCCGAGACTTACATTTCAAGTCAGACTTACTTCGTCCGAGACTTACATTTCAAGTCAGACTTACTTTCGTCCGAGACTTACATTCAAGTCAGACTTACTTTCGTCGAAACTTATCATTCAAGTCAGACTTACTTTCGTCGAGACTTACATTTCAAGTCAGACTTCCATTTCAAAGTCAGACTTACTTTCGTCGAGACTTACATTTCAAGTCAGATTACTTTCGTCGAGACTTACATTTCAAGTCAGACTTCCATTTACAATAGATTACTTTCCGGTACGATGACTTTACATTTCAAGTCAGACTTAATTTTCGTCCGAGACTTACATTCAAGTCAGACTTACTTTCGTTCTCGAACACTTACATTTCAAGTCAGACTTACTTTCGTCGGACTTACATTTCAAGTCAGACTTCATTTCAAGTCAGACTTACCATTTCAAGGTCGCAGACTTACATTTTAAGTCAGACTTACTTTCGTCCGAACTTACATTTCAAGTCAGACTTACTTTCGTCCGAAACTTACATTTCAAGTCAGAACTTACTTTCGTCCGAGACTTACATTTCAAGTCAGACTTACTTTCGTCCGAGACTTAATTTCAAGTCAGACTTCCCATTTCAAGTCAGACTTACTTTCGTCCGAGACTTACATTTCAAGTCAGACTTACTTTCGTCCGAAACTTACATTTCAAGTCAGACTTACTTTCGTCCGAGACTTACATTTCAAGCTCAGACTTACTTCAATTTTCAAAGTCAGACTTACTTTCGTCAGAGACTTACCATTTCAAGTCATAGACTTACTTTCGTCCGAGACTTACATTTCAAGTCAGACTTACTTCGGTCCGCCTTACATTTCAAGTCAGACTTACTTTCGTCGAGACTTACATTTCAAAGTCAGACTTACTTTCGTCCGAGACTTACATTTCAAGTCAGACTTACTTTCGTCGAGACTTACATTAGCAGACATTCATTTTGTCAACTTACTTTCGTCCGAGACTTACATTTCAAGTCAGACTACTTTTCGTGCTGAGACTTACATTTCAAGTCAGACTTACTTTCGTACCCGCAGGCTTACTATTTCAAAGTCATGACTCCACTTTTCGTCCGAGACTTACATTCACAAGTCAGACTTACTTTCGTCGAGACTTAACATTTCAAGTCAGACTTCCAATTTCTCCTAGACTTACATTTCAGTCAGACTTGTTACTTTCGTTACCGAGACTTAACATTTCAAGTCAACCTTACTTTTTGTCCGAACCTTACAGTTTCAAGTCAGACTTACTTTCGTCCGAGACTTACATTTCAAGTCAGACTTTAACTTTCGTCCGAGACTTACATTTCAAGTTAGTCAGGCTTACTTTCGTCGGGAACCTGTAGACTTACATTTTCAAGTCAGACTTATTTCGTCCGAGACTTACATTTCAAGTCAGACTTATCTCCAAACTTTCAAGTCAGACTTACCATTTCATAGTCAGACTTACTTTGCGTCCGAGAGACTTAACATTTCAAGTCAGAACTGACTTTCGTCCGAGACTTACATTTCAAGTCAGACTTACTTTCGTCTGAAACTTACATTTACAAGTCAAGACTTACTTTCGTCGAGACTTACATTTCAAGTCAACTACTTTCGTCCGAACTTACTTCAAGTCAGACTTCCATTTCAAGTCAGACTTACTTTCGTCCGAGACTTACATTTCAAGTCAGACTTACTTTCGTCGAGACTTACATTTCAAGTCAGACTTACTTTCGTGAGACTAGCATTTCAAGTCAGACTTACTTTCGTCGAGACTTACATTTCAAAGTCAGACTTCTATTTCAATCAGACTTACTTTCGTCCGAGACTTACATTTCAAGTCAGACTACACTTTCGTTACCAGAGACTTACTCCCAACTTTTCAAGTCAGACTTACTTTCGTCCGAGACTTACAAGTCAGACCTTCGTTCAAGTCAGACTTACTTTCGTCGCGAGACTTACATTTCAAAGTCAGACTTACATTTCAGTTTAGCCGAGACTTACATTTCAAGTCAGACTTACTTTCGTCCGAGAACTTATCATTTCAATCAGACTTCCATTTCAAGTCAGACTTACTTCGTCCGAGACTTACATTTCAAGTCAGACTTACTTTCGTCCGAGACTTACATTTCAAGTCAGACTTACTTTTCGTCCGAGACTTACATTTCAAGTCAGACTTACTTTCGGTCCGAGACTTAACATTTCAATCAGACTTACTTTCGTCCGAGACTTACATTTCAAGTCAGACTTACTTTCGTCCGAGACTTACATTTCAAGTCAGACTTACTTTCGTCCGAGGACTTACATTTCAAGTCAGACTTGGACTTTCGTCCCGAGATCTCTACATTTCAAGTCAGACTTCCATTTCCAAGTCAGACTTACTTTCGTCGCGAGACTTACAGATTTCAAGTCAGACTTACTGTTCGTCCGGAGACTTACATTTCAAGTCAGACTTACTTTCGTCCCGAGACTTACATTTCAAGTCAGACTTACTTTCGTCCGAGACTTTACATTTCAAGTCAGACTTACTTTCGTCCGAGACTTACATTTCAAGTCAGACTTACTTTCGTCCGAGACTTACATTGTCAAGTCAGACTTACTTTCGTCAGCGAGACTTACATTTCAAAGTCAGACTTACTGTTCGTCCGAGACTTACATTTCAAGTCAGACTTACTTATTTCCGTACCCGAAACTTACATTTCAAGTCAGACTTACTTTCGTCGCGAAGACTTACATTTCACAGTCAGACTTACTTTCGTCCGAGACTTCCATCTTACGAGAAGTCAGACTTACCTTTCGGTCGTCGAGAGCTTACATTTCAAGTCAGATTACTTTCGTCCGAGACTTACATTTCAAGTCAGACTTAGCTTTCGTCCGAGACTTACATTTCAAGTCATTGATGTTAAAGTACTTGGGCTATGTTCTGCTACAAACTTTTGTAAAACTCTTAACACTTCACGAGTTCCTTTATTTTTCATTATATACGCAAAAGCTTTGCGAGTGTTAACATTAATGAAGATGAGGAATGGGTTATGTCCTCCTTTTCTGCTTTGAATGAGAGTGTCAAATTGGTATGCGTCAGGAGTGTTGGAGTAAATTGGTAAAAAGTAGTCGTAAGGGTTTATTTTTGTTTGATGTACAACATTTTTGTCAAAGAACCTTTTCACTTCAGCTCTGTTAGTAAATCCCCAACTCTTTGCAGCTTCATTGAACTTCTTAAATGACCTCCATGGATGTTGTTCGAATACTTCTTTCAAGCTCATTTATGTAAAGTTAAAGATTTTATTCAAGGCTCAACCGCGTTCATTGAACTCTATACCATGCGAATATAGTCACAAATGGTGGCATATAATCTGCACCCGAGCCTGTTGGATTTGTTGTGAAAGTGTGTGAATGATTTCCTGTGGTTCCACAGAAAATACCTGCGCTTGAATCTACTGGGTCACTTGAAATATCATATCTATGCATTCCCTGTCTATCCGAACCTGCTGCAAGATTTGTATAACCTCTTTTTGTTATTGAATGTGAATGATTACCTGTTGTGTTTGTAGTTCCTGTATGAGTGTGCGCAGGTAAGTTTGCTTCTTTAATTTTCTTTGAGCCTCCTGTTTGCTTTGAAGAGTTAGCACAGTATAAGAATTTGTCTACAATCTGTTCCCAAGTACCAAAACCTAAAACACTTGCTGGATTTGTTGAGTTCATTGACGTATAAATAGAACCAACAGGATATAATGTTTGAAGTATTTCAGTCTTTAATGTTTGAAGCTCTGTTTTGTCTGCTTTTTTATCTAACATTGCTGGTAGTTTATATGTTTCAAAGTTTCTGACATGACCTTCAATGTTCATACATTTACTATTTAAGGAGTTTAGTGTATCTTTTACGCTTGTACTTGGATTCTCTAAAGGTGCACTTGAACCAAGGGTATAGTTCAATATTATGTCGTCTGCTCTAACAGTAGTGAAGGATTCATGTGTATGGTTCTTGTCAGCTTTACTATTTAATGTAGCTTGAAGTTCATTTATATCGGAGATATTGTGTTTATGAGATTTCAAAACTTTGTTCGTTGCGTCAAGTTCATCTTTGTCAGCTTTACTTTTAATAGCATCTTCAAACGTTATTTTTGCCTTAACTCTCAATGTAAATCTTGGTTCAACTAATACACCGTTAACAAAGAAGTATGAAGCATAAATTTCATCGTTATAACCAAATGCTTCTGGTGCATTACCTGTGTCATACTGTACAGTACAGTGTATGTCATAACCTTTAGCACGAATGTATTTATATCTTCTTTCATTAACATCTTCAGTGCTTATTTGTTCATCCTGTGTTAAATATCCATGGTAGTCCGTTATAATCTGTTCGTCTGAACTTATATAATGAACATGGTTTTTATCTGCTTTTTCGGCTAATTTCTCTTCTATCTCATTTATTTCAAGTTCATGCCTACCACCACCTCCCGAAGAAGTATTTTTCTTCAGCTCTTGAAGAACGTCCACTTCGCCATCTTTGGTGTCAATAATGAGACTTTGAGTTAAAACCTTTCCTGTCTTAATGGATGTTTGTAAAACTTCTTCTTCACCGTGTTCGGGGTCATGGTCGTCATCATATCTTGTGAAATCAGAGATGTTGTCATACATTAAGCATATCTGTCTCAAAAGTTCTGCTATTTGAAACTGGAACGAAAGATATACAGAACTTTCATCATCTCCTAAAGTCAAGTCTGCTTTCTTAAGTATTTCTTGAATGTATGCAATGAGAACAGAGTACCTTGGAAAATATTCGAACAATATTTCATTAGCTGTTGGTTTTGGTGGTTCTTCTGGAGTTTCTGTTGTTTCAGTTCCTTCTGTAGGTTCTGTTGGAGTTTCTGCATCTCTTGACTTCAATGCTCTTGCTCTCAAAGACCTAAATGTTAGAGCACCAGGTTTTACAAAGGACTTTATAAATGCTTTAATAGTTCCTGGTAAGTTATTGTTAGCATTAAGTAAGTTCCTTATGCTTCCATCATGTACGTCCATAGCACTATGTAAAAAATCTATACTTTTCTTGTAGTCAGCAATAGACTGACTGTGATTTTTTAAAGATTTGTCAATACCTTTAAGCCAATCTTCATGCATGTCTGATACTGAGCCAAGAATATCATTTGCTTCCTTTAGTGTATTTTGTGCTTCTCGTAAAGTATCCAATCCCGTACGTGCATTGTTTGCTATACGTCTTACAGTATCTATTTGACTCCTTGTTTCTTGCATCCAACCAGATAAAGTTTTAATAGTATCAGAACCATTTGAAATGAAGTTCAAAGCATTTTTAACGTCATCTAAAACTTCTTCACCAAGTACTGCCCATATCTTTCCGATTTGGTATTGAAGAACTCCATATGAAGCAGCTGTTAAACCAGTATTTATAAGGTTCCATATCCATGATTTAGCAGTTTTTCCATCCTTTCCATCCTTTCCATCTTCACCATCCAAACCGTTTTCACCTTGAGGTCCTTGTATTCCTTGTATTCCTTGTATTCCTTGTGGTCCTTGAGGTCCGGTGTCACCCTTCTCTCCTTTCAGTTCATCTTTATGTTCGTTATAATATTCTAATGTCATAAGGTGTACATCATTACTGCTACCAGCAACGCCGAGAATTTGTTTCTCATTCATGACTAAATTCTTTAGGCATTTAATGTTGTCGTCAAATCGAAAGCTCTTTAACAATTCAATGAGAACATTTAATACTTTCACTAATGAGGCATCTACTGTAGAATTTATATATTGCACCGTTCCATCATTTATGATAGGAACTTTACTTATTGTAATGAATGGGTCATACGTGTTAAAAGTATCGAAATCAATGACTTTTTTAGTTTTTCCATCGTCAATGACTAAATCATTGCCTTCAATGGTTAAAGTTGAGTTTTCGTTTACTAGTTCATGTGCTCTTCTTGCTTCATTTGTTTCATACGCATATGCAGCAATAGTCATATTTTAATGAGAATAAAATGTTGTTCTATTTGCAAAGTACAGACCCAAACGAATACGGGACAGTAAAGCTACAAACAAACTTAGGTCTTCAGAATGAAGCGCTTGCTTTCAGAGTTGTTGACTTCAATACTATCGCAACTTTTGTCATAACAGATGAAACAGATTTCATAGAGATTGAAATAGATGACAAAAGAAGTGTTATATCATTTCCTAACAGAGCTGGGTATAGAATAGATAAAATTGCTGGAGTCATGGATACTCTCATAAATGAAGAAACTATTGACAACATAGATGTCGAACTCTCTTCTGAGGGAACATTGAAGTTCAGTTATGCGAAAGAGTTTAAGATAACACGAATGAGTCATAGAGTACAACTTCTTTTGGGTGCATACCATATGACATTTCCTTTGAAAAGTGTTGACAAAACGATTGAGATGAAATCTGTTCCATACGTATGTTATGGTAATTGTTTATACATTGAGTCTAAAATAGCTAATGTCACAGGCATTTCAGGAGTTAATAGTAAAGGTTCAGTAGAATATAAATCCTTCTGTTATGCAGTCAATTCAATGTTCATTCCAAACGTTCCTGTCATAGCAACTCATTTAGGTAAATGGGTTCGCATTAGTCCTCATAATTTGAAAGACATGCAATTCAGACTTGTTGACTTTCAAGGAGAGCCTGTAGAACTGAAGGCACCAGTGCGAATGACTGTTGAAGTTGACTTTTTAGAAAATATTAAATGCAACAGCTTACAAGAGAACTCAGAGCTAAAAATATAAAGTATGAATGTTATGTATTAGGTCATGAACTTTGGTTGTTGCTGTTTGATGAAACAAATGAATTAGTTATGTCAGTCAAGAGAACAGAAAAATATTGTGTTAGTGAAAACTGCACCAAGTCAATAAGATTAGGTTTGCATTATGAAGATGAGTTCGATACTGTTGAAGAAGTTTTGGACAGATACTATAAGTTGCTAACTTGAAATTTTTTTGACTGACGGCGCAAAGCGCCAAGATGGGCTCAAAGAGCCCTCCTGACTGCTTTAATTTACTAAAACATATTTCAAACAAAGTTTATATTCTGTTGAAAGTTTTGTATATTCATTCGAATATTTATACTTAAACTCAACTCCTGTAGTTCCTGGTGTTTCAATGATGCGGATGTTACCTATTTTCATGAATAGTGGAGTTTGACCACAGCATTCGATTTCAGGGTCGAGATAGTCAATGACACATTGTTTCCCTGTTATTCGTGAGATAACATTTTCAAGGTCCTCCTTTGTTAGAATTATTTGGTTCTTGCTTATAAGGTTTGTCAAAAGCTTCTTATCGTCTTTGAGTAAAATTGTTTGGTATAACTGAAGAAGGTAATGGTCTACGTTATCTGAAGAATTTGTTTGAACATTTGTGTAAGGATTGTCGTTGGCTTCTCTTGAAAGAATTTGGTCCAGTGGTGGATACTCTAACTTAACATCTGATGTAGCGTTAGCGTTTGAAGCTGTGTTTAAATTCACGGCGCCATGCTCCAAGACCGAAGGTCCCGACTTAAGTTCTGGTTCTTTTTCTTTCAAACACTCCGAACTATAGTTCTTTATGACAATATTGTTTGTCGTTCGTGAGTCAACATTTGATGTTGGTTCAATTGGAACATTAACGGCACCAGCTAAGATGGATTTGCTTCTCATTTCATATAGAATAAAAACCTTTTATATGTATGAAATGAACAATATACTCGACAAGGGTTTGAATGTAAAGCTAACGAATGAAAATATTGTTGAATTCACTGAGACAGGTGCTGTGTATAAAGATGTAGAACTACTGAACAAAAGAGCTAAGGGAAGAAGCAGGAACATGAACAAAGGGTAGAAGCCTATAAAAATTTATGTCAATGATGGCTCAGGAGGTTCAAACATAAAGTATGCAGAAAGTTATAGAGTTTATGCTCTCAAAGGTGAAAAGCCTTCATTTAAGAACAGCTATTCTAACGCATATCCTCAAAAGCTAACGGATGGGGAAGTGGATGATATGAATGACAGCAAAAATATTAACAGAAATGGCGACAGAGATGCATGGAATTTGTTTACCATCAGTCAATTGAAGGTTAAACTTTAAAACAATGTTGGTCGTTCCCATGGAATATTTTTGACTTTAATGGTATTAGTCATGATATGAATCTCAAGGTATGAACGAGGAGAGATGAGAGACTTATATGCTTCCCAAATTTCTTCAAAAGGTAATGTTATACCTGAGTGTTTCCAAATGAGTTCAATATCATAACGTGAGAAACCTTGAAAGATAACGAAGTCAGTTATGAGACGTTTTATGTTTAAAGCTAAAAACCTCCATGTTTGCATAAGTATTGCTACAGTTAAGTGGTAATGTCTGACTTTAGTAATGATGTTAGCTAATGGTGAGTCTGGTTTTGACACTAAACCTTTTCCAGCGAAGTCGTCGCAAACGAGCAGAGTGTTTGAAGGATACTTTTTGAAGGGGTATTTTGAAAGTTTTGACAGAATGTAGTTTGTCAGTCGTTTCATATCGTAAACTCCTGAGTATTGACGTAAGTGGTGTTTGTCAATAATTCTTTCCATCTCCTCAGAAGTCTTTTGCATTCCTGACTGTATAAATTCAACGATGGCATAATATTTCCTCTTACGTCGAATGTAACGTTGAAGAAATTCAATGAGTTCACTGTCTGGAACTTTAACGACAGAGGCTTGAACTTTTGACATAAATGTTTTCGCTGTTGAATCCATAGAGTCTGAAGTTGCTGATATAATGATTTGGTCATAGTAAGAGTCGTTTCCTAAACGCTCTGTTATGAGTATATGACGAATGAGGTTAAATGTCTTACCTGAACCCATCTTTCCACAATAGAAATAAACACCATTTGAACAGAACTCATAGTCCTTACTGAAAGGAAGAATAAGAGAAGAGTTAAGTTTGTCTGTAGTTTCATTCATGTCTTCATCTACGTCATGTATTAAATGCTTCATTTTATCTCCATTAAAAATGCAAGTCAGAGATATTCAGAACATAGCACCGAGTCTAACTGACAAGAGTATAAAGATATACTATGAACATGTTATGATGAAACCAACCAAAATTCAAGAAAGTCAGTATACTTATGAATATCCAAGACACTGGGTAGAGTATGTAGGAGGTGAGAAAGCTATTGAAATCAGACAGGTTCGAAGTATTCCAGCAGGAAGAACAATATTATTGAAGAACTTTAATGTTTTGAGGTATAATGATGAAACAAAGAAGCAAGATAGTTTTCCTGTTGCTGTGTATGTGAACTTAGATACAGGAGATGACATGAAAGTTTTTAACACAAAGCTTCAAACGGTAGTGAGAGAACAACTGACTGCGGAAGGACATCCATTACCTTCAGAAGTTACCATAGCATATAATTTTGAAACAAACTCAATAGATTTTAAAGTCGTCTCTGCAAAGAAGTCAGGTTTTACATTTAATGAAGCAGATGTATATTCGAATGAAAACTTCAAAGCTATTGCATGGTTAGATAATGACGATTGCTTTAAGAAAATATTTAAATACAGTGACTCAACGATGTCAATAGATGACCTTCGTGGAATGTTACCATCGACGTTTACAGTAGAAGGTTCAGCAGGATTGCTTACAAGATTGTCAATTGGTGGTATTTGGTCTCGTGAGAACATTGTTATAAAATCCAGTATAAGTGAATTTGCTGAAGAATCTATATTATGTCTTTCAAACTACATGTATTCGCCGCCGAAGCATTATAGTATAACAAACTTTGTCAGTAAGTTTAACATAAGACTTGTCGAACCTTCTTCAATGAAAGATGTTGTGCTACCTAAAGATGGAAAGGATGGACTCATTATTGAAATGATTTTAATAGCATATTAAATGAGCTTGTTCTTGAAGGTCATTCATGATGAAATAACTGTTGTAGAAGATGTTAGCAATTGTTCAGACATTTTGAAGCGTATAGATGAGATAAGAAAGAAGTTAGATAGACCGCAAAGCTGTGAGGGCGAAGCCCGTGAGAACGCTTATGTTTCATTGACTTTCTCCAGTAACGAGAACTTTTATGAGATAATATTGAAGAGAGATGATTTTAATATGGTGTAAATGGTAGCTTGGGCAGCTTTAGGCGCAATGGGAACAAAAGCATTAGCATTTGGAGCAAAAGCACTTGGAGCTTATGACGCAGTAAATAAAATGAGTGGAGGAAGGGTTTCAAAGACATTAGATGCAAATAAAGGGAAGATTGGAGGCTGGGTTGCAAAGAAGTTAAGATTAAATAAAATAGGGCTCATAAATAAAGCATCCAATTTGGTTGCGACTGAGTCAGAAAATGCTTTAGGAAAGGACGATGAGTTTGCAAAACACGCAAAAGACTTTAATGACCAGATGAAAGGTGAAACAATGCATTTAAATAGATTCGATGGAACTAAAGAAAATGTTTCTTCTCCACCAGTAGTTCTTCCGTATGGTCCCTATGGAATGTATGGAAACCCTTATGAACGACCATTTGACCCATTGACTGGTGGAAGTAACTGGTATCATTACGGCCGAAGAAGAAAGACAGTCAAGTTGGAGACAGATGTTAAGAAAGCAACTAAAAAGAAACCAAGGAAGAGAGTTATAAAGCAATGAATTCAACAGGGTAGAAATGAGGTTAGATCTAACCTTCTACCCTAAATTTATTTTTGCGCTATGTTTTCATACGTGTGAAGTCGTTAGTGAGAACGTTAGTGAAAACGTTTATTTTTTCATGCACGTGCATTGTGTCGCGGGGAGTTGCCATGGGCAATGACCTGCGCACAATATATAACGTACAGAGAGGTGAGATGAGGTGGTTTATGTGATAAATACTTTACGTGGCAGAAATAGTTTAAGGTTATTAGAAATATTGCATCTGCGATGTAAAATATACGTTAGTGGTTTTGTAAAGTGTCAGATTGACATAACTTTGGTAAGATGGCGCGCAGTGCCACTGTACTGAAGATATGTATACTAACTAGGATGTTAGAATGTTCACGATGAAGACGTTCTGAAAGAATGTTGAAGATGTCAATTACTGCATAAAAACAACGTGTTGAAATAAAAACAACTAAAACAGAACAAAAGTGATTGAAAAAAAGTGGATCCATGTGACTTAACTAACAAAGACATGTATAATAAACTTCGTCGATACAAATAAATTTATGGAAGAAAAACATGATCTTAGAAATCTTCTCACAAAGATACTTGTCAAGTTCGATAATTTCAAGTGCACTGAAGAAAATGTTGCAAATAGATGAAACACATTCTTTGATGTTTTCAAGTTCATCAAGTGAGTTCTTGTTTGTAAGTAATGAAACAAAGATGTCAATACCACAGAAGACTGATGTAGAGTCTGAAAGAAGATTAAAAACAACTGGACAAACTCGGTTAACAACAAAACTGTGGAATTATGGAAATTTAGACAATGATACAAAACATGAAAAAATGATACAATACAATGTGTGATTAATGTAAAATTGTTTTAAAAGACAAACAAGTGTAGATAAAAAAATAATCTAAAACATCTACAAAACTATGTGGAGAAAGTTTGACAAGACAGAAAAGAATGTCGGTAATGAATTCGTTGTTGATGTTGTCACAAACAACGTTGATCATAGAAATAACGGATAAAATAGTAGAATCTCGAAAGAAAAGTTCAATATGTGAAAGTGTGTAAAAAAAATTAAAATAAAAAATGAATGAGTAATCGTAGTCAAGTGACTCTGAAACAATAGTTGGTGAAAAATCGGACTCGTACTCAATCAAGTACTTGAACTACTGAGAAAGAGAAAATTCGTTAGATTGTGGAATAGAACAGTCAAAAAACATATTGGTTGTAATGACTAAGGATGAAAGTAAGAATGAAAAGTGATGAATATTTAATGTAACTATGAAAAATAAATCTCTTTGAAAACATAAACTGATGTTTGAAACAAAGGAATAATTGATTAAAATGTTAACAAATAATGAACAAATAGAATCTTCGTAGTTAATGAATTCAATGTATGAAATAAAATAATGAGAAAATGTTTCGATTTTGTCGTCATCAAGTAAATAGTGGCTGATGCATGAAAGGACATGAACTTCGGAATCAAAGATGAAGTAACAATCTGTAAATTATTGATAAAGATATTCTTATTCTTATTATTAGTAGTTCTGACTGAGAAAGTCTTCAAGAAAAAGTAAACACTTTAATTCTAAAGCCAAATGTTGTGAGAATGAAGAAAGTGTAACGCAGTTGTATTCGATATGAGGAAGAGGACACATTTAGGCAACGAAAGAAAAGTGATTCTGTAAAAGGTTGAAAGAGTCTCATTTAAACATGCAAAGTGATTGTACATGGTAATAATGCGTTCAATATTGGAAGGGTTTCATTATTATTTCTTGTTGTAAGCACTCTTTGTAAAAAGTTGTTAAGTTTTCGTCACAAATTTTTGTTTTGATTAAAATATCGGATAATATGCTCGATGTATTGACTTTTAATTCAAGATCTAATGAACTGTTGAACACGTTTATTAAAAACTCGAAAATTACTGGTGAATATATTTGATTATCTATGCAAAGTGTTATAACTGAGATACATTAATTATAATACTGAGAACCTAATGACAAAATGTCTTTAACTTGAAGAAAAGAATCTTTTATCCTTAAATTTCGACGTTTTTTAAACAATTTGACTGATTTTTATATATTCAAAATTGATGAGTTTTGTAATGTAATATTAATTTGTAAAAATCAGATGAAGTTTTGTCAATAACGTTTCCAAATTTTTCGGGTTCGAGAAAGGGACAAACTATCCAGTGTCACTTTTCAAAGGAATAAAAAAAATAATAAAGATGAAATAATAACATGAAATCTTATATAAATATAATTTTATCTAAATAGATAAATGAATTAAGCAGTTTACAGTTATATATATTTAATGAGAGACAATATCTAGTTCTATGGTAGAAATGACTCTTAGACTCAAATAAGTAACACAGATAGAAAGTACTCAGTATAACAATTATATATGTACACTCAAAGTTAGTCGCTGCTAAAATCTTTACCTTGCACTTCGGGAAAATCTGACAAATGGCTCTTAGACTCAAATAAGTAACACAGATAGAAAGTACTCAGTATAACAATTATATATGTACACTCAAAGTTAGTCGCTGCTAAAATCTTAACCTTGCACTTCGGGAAAATCTGACAAATGGCTCTTAGACTCAAATAAGTAACACAGATAGAAAGTACTCAGTATAACAATTATATATGTACACTCAAAGTTAGTCGCTGCTAAAATCTTAACCTTGCACTTCGGGAAAATCTGACAAATGGCTCTTAGACTCAAATAAGTAACACAGATAGAAAGTACTCAGTATAACAATTATATATGTACACTCAAAGTTAGTCGCTGCTAAAATCTTAACCTTGCATTTCGGGAAAATCTGACAAATGGCTCTTAGACTTGTTTTGATAATTAATTCTTCAATTATATTATAATTTATAACAAATTTCCTCAAACTATCTGTATGTCATTCAATTCCCGGCCACTACATTCAATGATGGACCATTTCCTTCAAATTTTGAAATACCTTATTCAATTTGTTGTATGGAGCCCGTGATATTCAACACTATGGAGCTCCTCCAGTTTGGTATCCAAGAAGAGATAAAAGCTAGCATAGGCTACTCTCAAAAATTCAGGAAAGAATACTCCACGATCGAATACAAATGTAAGTATCCACAATGTCAAGCTAAATTCAAAGTCCGGATAATAGATCAAGATAAATATGAACTACTAATCCACTCTGACTCTCATGATCATTCTGCACCTCCGAAATCAACAAAAACAATATCCTCATTATTTGTCAGAAATTATCTTAAACATTACTTTGAAAACAATATGAATCATGCTACAGCTCAACTTAAGTGTTTCCAAGACTTAAATATTTCATATACAGACGAAGAGGTTACTTTCAATATTTGCACAAGGTCCAGATGCATTACGTAAATTTGCTCAAAGAGCTGAAATTGTTTCCAAACGCTTTAGTTCGGATGAAAAAGTTTCTTTAGCTATCTTTGTCGAATCTGTTCAAGAAAGTTGTCCAGAAGATTTAATTGAATTTATCTCTGAGCCGGGAAAACTAGTTTTTTTATATGCACCTTTCGAAGCGAAGGCCCTTGGTCACCAAATTTCTACGTTTCACATCGATTCAACGTATAAACTTCTAAGGGCTAACATTCCATTATATGCACTCACAGGAAAAACAGAACATACTATTGTTTTTCCTTTTTTGTATTTCTTTATTTCTCCTGACACAAGCGAAAATATTCAATATTGTGTTTGTCGTTATTTTCAATATATTAATAGAGAACCCGAGATGATAAGTATGGACTGCGCCCCACAAATAGCCGAGGCAATTGAGCGAGGTATTCCAAACTGTCATATTCTTTGGTGTGGCGTGCATGTCCTTCGCGCCATATTAAGAAAAGCGGATAAGTTTAAATCACGAGACAATTTTGAAGAATTTTATAATCTAATGAAATTATTAGTATTCGATACTAAAGAAGAATCTCCCGAGGAAGAACAGAACCAAGAAGAAGAAAATCCTAGAGAGGAACCAGCTCAATCTCACTTACTTCAAGCAGAAGAAATTGAAGAAGAGGAACAATATGAAGAAGAATTCATCGAAAATGAATTTCAACCTTCTCAAATCTTTTTACCACGAGAATCTTCTGATGATCCAAACGATTCTGAATTTATTCCAGAAGAAGAAACGTTTGAAACAAGTGAAGAAGTTCCAGAGCACCTCACTCAAGAAGAAGCTGCAGACCTAGATGCAGTTTATGATCGAATTCTTGAAATTCTTTCCACTGAACCGAAAGCCCAAAAGTACTTCGATAGGCAATGGAGGCATCATTTAGATCGTTGGAATAAGCGCTATCGCAACGGAGGTGACGCAACTAATAACGTCAGTGAGTCACATTTCAAAGTTCTCAAGCATTCTTATTTCCCAGAGAGAAGGAATATTCGATTAGACGATTTTGTTGTTGAATTATACACAACGGTTGTTCCAGCATTATTGATTAAATTTAAAGTTTAATTAATCAATAGTGATAAAGTTGTTCGTATATTACGAAAAGCTAATGACCATGAACAAATATTGGAAAACAAAAAAGTCGAATGTTTGAAAATGCTTGAAGCAATATATTCAAGTTTGCAACAAGGATCAATAGATTCAAATCTTGTTTATTGTACTTTAAAGGTACTTTTGTTGTAAACAGAAATTCATCAAAAGTGACACCTCAGAAAAGCTAAAATATTGAATTTTTGGAACTTTTGATAGAGCACGTTTTTAAATATTAATTAAAGTAAATGTATATTTTGTAAAGATTCTTTTTAATAAAAAAATAAAATTTTTCAGAAGATTTCATTCTATATGCCTATGAAAAGTACTCACAAAACTAACTTTTTCCTAATTATAATTAAATCTGGAATATTGTATTATGCTTAGTATTATTTCATTTTTCTCATTCAATTTAGAATTTACAAATGTCAAAAAATTGAGAGCTGTCACTTTTGATGAATTTCTGTTTATTACACTTTTAAAAAAGAAACAATTAATGTAAAAGATTCAAATAATTTTTTATTATTATTTTATTAATTTTTTAAAATAAGGTTAATAAAAAAGTGACACCGGATAGTTTGTCCCACACTCTTCGGGTTCAAAAATTGCTGACGGGTTCAGATGCCGATCTAATGATAAATTTTCAAATGCACACGAAAACAATAAAATTCCTTTGAGCCATTTTTATAATCGGCTACTTTATTTTTGACATAATGGCAAAAATATTTTAATGTAAAAAACCTCCGATTCTCACAAATGAGTACGATGGAATTTCCAAATTCCCTCAAAACCCAATTTGAACCCGTCAGATAATTTGAACCCTCCCAATTTGGAAACGTTATTTGTATTCTTTCGATCCTAATTCATTGTTTAAACGATTTCTGATTATTGAAAGATGTACAGATACAGTGATACTATAGAAATGAAATAGTGATTAAGTTTAATACTATTCTTGTGACTCAGAGAGAATTATGAAAATTTGGTAAAATTTTGGACCCAATAAAAATTATTTATTTCCCCAAAATTTATTATTTTTATAAAAGTTTCAAACTTTCAAAATCTCTCTTTTATCAAATCTTTATTTCATTCGGAGTAACATGATAGAAAAAGAGCATCACATATCTCGAATTTGCTCCATTTCACGAAGAATGAATGGGAAGAAGTCTACAAAACTACGTTTAGTTCTGAAATCTACAATAAAAATCAAACTTACATAGGTTACACAGGCAACTTTTATGTCCGTGAAGTCTATTTCAGTAACCTTGGCGACGACGGTGTTATCAACCTTAATTCTGACGATGTTAAGTCTCTTATTTCATCAAATTCATTCGAAAACTCATTCCGTAACGGCGATGGTGGGTCCATCTACATCAATCAAGGCCAAAGTTCCATTCGAAAAGTTTGTAGTTTTGGATCCAAATCTACCGACAACGGAAAGTTCTGTTATATTAAAGTTTCATATGCTTCTACTAATATCAATGAAATCCAAGATTCTTCTATCACATATAGTAATCAAGGAAAATTAGTCGGATATAGTACAATTGTTTTACAATATGGCAATAATTCATTTTTCCAAAACAATATCACGAGAAACTATTGCAAATATAATACAGCATTTGGAATAGGAGATGGCAAAGGCACTATTTCAATCAAATATTCGAATATTGATGAAAACCATGCAACATCCAGAATTTGCTATGTAGGATCCAAACCAGCAACATATAACAGCATTGTTTTCACAAACAACACTGTTTCTGAAGATGGAAGTTCTTATCCTGGAATGTTTCTTTGTGGTAGTTGTTCTGCTAAATTTGAAAACTGTTTCATTGCAACTAACAAACGAAATGGATGTTATTTGTTTGGAATCTATGATATTAATGATTTTGGATATACAATTACAGTTTCTAATTCATATATTGATACACAAGAAAAATTATTTCCAGAAGGTCAACAAGTTTCAATTGGACCAAATAAAGACATTTCAGTTGAACTTCATCTTTATTCTACAGAACTCTGTCCAACAGGAAATAACATTGAAAATATTAATAAAATCATTTCGAAGCTTATTCATCTTCATGGAATCGGTGAATCAATGACTTCGCTAATATTTTAATTCTATTTTTTTTTCATTAATTTTTGATTGAATTATATGGATAATCTGATCATATCATTGCACAAATGGATAATAATAATATAGTTGACATGAGCGTTCAAAGCAACATCTCATATTATGGAAGTTAGATGATATAGATTTGTCGTTGAAAAGATTCAAAAGATCTGGAATAAGACTTGAAAGATGAGATAAAACTGAGTCTCTGTCGTTCAGAAGATGAGAGAACTGAGAAAAGACAACTTGGAATTTGTAAAAGGATGTTAGAATGTTCACGATGAAGACGTTCTGAAAGAATGTTGAAGATGTTTATTGCTGCATAAAAACAACTAAAACGGAACAAAAACGACTGAAAAAAGTAGATCAATGTATCATAATCTTCGTCGATACAACAAAATTTAGAGAAGAAAAACATGATTTAGAAATCTTCTCACAAAGATACTTGTCAAGTTCGATAATTTCAAGTGCACTGAAGAAAATGTTGAAATAGATGAAACACATTCTTTGATGTTTTCAAGTTCATCAAGTGAGTTCTTGTTTGTAAGTAATGAAACACAAATGTCAATACCACAGAAGACTGATGTAGAGTCTGAAAGAAGACTAAAAACAACTGGACAAACTCGGTTAACAACAAAACTGTGGAATTATGGAAATTTAGACAATGATACAAAACATGAAAAAATGATACAATACAATGTGTGATTTATGTAAAATTGTTTTAAAAGACAAACAAGTGTAGATAAAAAAATAATCTAAAACATCTACAAAACTATGTGGAGAAAGTTTGACAAGAAGGAAAAGAATGTCGGTAATGAATTCGTTGTTGATGTTGTCACAAACAACGTTGATCATAGAAATAACGATAAAATAGTAGAATCTCGAAAGAAAAGTTCAATATGTGAAAGTGTGTAAAAAAAATTAAAATAAAAAATGAATGAGTAATCGTAGTCAAGTGACTCTGAAACAATAGTTGGTGAAAAATCGGACTCGTACTCAATCAAGTACTTGAACTACTGAGAAAGAGAAAATTCGTTAGATTGTGGAATAGAACAGTCAAAAAACATATTGGTTGTAATGACTAAGGATGAAAGTAAGAATGAAAAGTGATGAATATTTAATGTAACTATGAAAGATAAATCTCTTTGAAAACATAAACTGATGTTTGAAACAAAGGAATAATTGATTAAAATGTTAACAAATAATGAACAAATAGAATCTTCGTAGTTAATGAATTCAATGTATGAAATAAAATAATGAGAAAATGTTTCGATTTTGTCGTAATCAAGTAAACAGTGGCTGATGCATGAAAGGACATGAACTTCGGAATCAATGATGAAGTAACAATCTGTAAATTATTGATAAAGATATTCTTATTCTTATTATTAGTAGTTCTGACTGAGAAAGTCTTCAAGAAAAAGTAAACGCTTTAATTCTAAAGCCAAATGTTGTGAGAATGAAGAAAGTGTAACGCAGTTGTATTCGATATGAGGAAGAGGACACATTTAGGCAACGAAAGAAAAGTGATTCTGTAAAAGGTTGAAAGAGTCTCATTTAAACATGCAAAGTGATGTACATGGTAATAATGCGTTCAATATTGGAAGGTTTTCATTATTATTTCTTGTTGTAAGCACTCTTTGTAAAAAGTTGTTAAGTTTTCGTCACAAATTTTTGTTTTGATTAAAATATCGGATAATGTGCTCACTACATTGACTTTTAATTCAATGTCTGATGAACTATTGAACATGTTTATTAAAAACTCGAAAATTACTGGTGAATATATTTGATTATCTATGCAGTGTGTTACAATTGAGATACACCATTATAATACTGAGTATCTAATGACAAAATGTCTTTAACTTGAAGAAAAATCTTTTATACTTAATTTTCGAAGTTTTTTAAACAATTGACTGATTTTTATATATTCAAAATTGATAAGCTTAGTCATGTAATAATAGTTTGTAAAAATCAGATGTGGCTTTGTCAATGTTTGTATTCTTTCGATGAAAATTCATTGTTTAAACGATTTCTGATTATTGAAAGGTGTACAGATACAGTGATACTATAGAAATGAAATAGTGATTAAGTTTAATACTATTCTTGTGACTCAGAGAGAATTATGAAAATTTTGTAAAATTTTGGACCCAATAAAAATTATTTATTCCCCAAAATTTATTATTTTTATAAAAGTTTCAAACTTTCAAAATCTCTCTTTTATCAAATCTTTATTTCATTCGGAGTAACATGATAGAAAAAGAGCATCACATATCTCGAATTTGCTCCATTTCACGAAGAATGAATGGGAAGAAGTCTACAAAACTACGTTTAGTTCTGAAATCTACAATAAAAATCAAACATACATAGGTTACACAGGCAACTTTTATGTCCGTGAAGTCTATTTCAGTAACCTTGGCGACGACGGTGTTATCAACCTTAATTCTGCCGATGTTAAGTCTCTTATTCATCAAATTCATTCGAAAACTCATCCCGCAACGGCGATGGTGGGTTCCATCTACATCAATCATGGCCAAAGTTCCATTCGAAAAGTTTGTAGTTTTGGATCCAAATCTACCGACTTTGGAAAGTTCTGTTATATTAAAGTTTCAAATGCTTCTACTAATATCAATGAAATCCAAGATTCTTCTATCACATATAGTAATCAAGGAAAATTAGTCGGATATAGTACAATTGTTTTACAATATGGCAATAATTCATTTTTCCAAAACAATATCACAGAAACTATTGCGGACATTATGCGGCTTTTGGAATAGGAGATGGCAAAGGCACTATTTCAATCAAATATTCGAATATTGATGAAAACCATGCAACATCCAGAATTTGCTGTGTAGGATCCAAACCAGCAACATAT